GCTCTCCCGCGCTGCTCTTGGGCCCGTGCTCCCCGCTGCCGCCGCGATGAAGGTGCTGGGACACAAGATCGAGCTGCTGACAGGTACCGCGGCCCTGCCCGCCTCGACGCCCGCGGCTTCTGAGTTGGAGCGGGCCACGGGCACGATGGCCGAGGCTTGGGACGGCTCGGGTCTGAGCGGGACGGGGTGCGGAAGCCAAGAAATCCGGTTAATTCCTAGTCTGGGCGCTACCTGCTCCTGGGCGGAGCTCGGCAGGGACGAGGACTTGTGACTGCCCGCTGCGGCTCTCGGATTCCCGGCGCCCTAGTTGGGCGGGTGCGGCGCTTGTGACTGCGTCGCGGGTCAGCCGAGCGTCCCCCTGGTGTCTCCCACCTGCCGAGCTCAGGTCAGAACACCGAAAGGGAGCTTGGGACCCGACCTCCGGTCACTGCCGCCCATTCCCCAAGAAAGCAGGTCCTGGGCTTCCGGCAGGACTCATGCGGTGGCCTCTTTCTTTTCTTACTCCTTGCTCCCTGGTAATCTGAGCCGCCCTTTTCTAGGGGGAGAAGTTTCTTGCTGGGATTAGAGGCCAAGTGGTCATGGAAGTGGGAGGCCAGATTGAATCCTGATGACTGGGGTCCCTTAACTCGGGGCCTCTCTAAAGGAACCTGATGCCTACTGGAAACCTGGACCCCGGGAGCAGTGGCTGAGTTCCACAGAAGACGATAGAGGTGGGAAAGGGACCTAGGATACAGGCCAGAGGCTGGGGCAGCTCAGGGAGGGATGCTGGCCCGGGCATTGGGCGCTGGAGCGCAGTAGCACCCGTGGCTTCCGTGTTCTGCCTGGGGAAGTACAGTGGAGAAAGCCAGGCAAGGATCTGAAGGTCCCACCCCAGACCCCCCAGACCTAGGCTTTGTGGGTGATCAGTCAGTCTACTGGATGACACAGGAATGAACACATTCTGGTTGAGGGCCTCTGGCACCCAGAGGTTTGGTCTCTGCCCTAAAGGACCCTATTGGCTGATACAGGAGGACCAAGCACAGGATTCCTAAGGTGGGGAAGGAGCAGTGATCTCTGAGTGCACTCAGGAAACAAGAAGGGCTCTGGGGAAGAAGGGGAACTGGTGTTAGAGCTCGTGGCAGCATTTGAAGACATAAGTAACAGGATTTCTGTTTGTGGAGAGTGAGGTGGCATGGGCAGAATGGGGGATCGATGTGGCAGCTGGAGGGCCTGAGTGAGTGGTCAAGTGGAGCAGGTCAGGTGGGGAGGCGTTACGCTGTGTGTTCACCAACTCTACTGTGGTTCGTGGTGGGCTCATACGGAAGTGTAGGTGGGGACTGTTCGTTGGCCCTAGACACCCTGGCACTCGGAAGTGCGGGGTCTGAGCCCAGTTATCTGCAGGGCTGGCATCCCATCACCTTCTTCGCCAACCTTTCGTTGTCATGCTGTCCTGGGGCGGGCCTGGCGCATCGACTTTGAAGGGAGCTGCATAGGCTCTGAACTTGTTAACCTAGAGGCAAAATTTGTACACCCTTATGGTTTTAGAGCCCTACCTAGAGGACAGAACTGACTGGGTCCTCCTTCCTTTTCTTCCTGCCCGCCAGAGGGCCTGGAGGAGAAGTGACCGGTTCCAGCGAGCCGAGGGGGCCGCCAGGCTTTGAGGTCCTGACAGGGTGCGTCTTTATCTCCTGGATGCTGGGTTTGGACCCTTTCTCCCCCATGAAATGGGCTTGCCTGATTATATTCAGGCTTTTTAGGCCCCTGGGCAAACTGGGACAGGACCTTCTTAGTCACTGTCATCATCAGTCACAGGCTTCTAGTCCACATCAAATCTGAGACAGCTCATCCCCTCTGTGGCTTTCCCTCTCTGTCCAGCTCTCTTTTGTACTCTTCCTTGCTACGTAGATCTGGCTTCCAACTCGAGCCCCACGGCTAATCAGCCGCGTGATTTTAGACCAGTCACTTAACCTCTGACTTCAGTTTTCTCATTTTGAAGATGGAACCATTGACTCTTCCATCTGAGAGCTGTCAGGCCTGCTGAGACAGTGCAGGTGACACACCTGTTTGGGACTTGTGCTCTGAGAGACACCTCTCAGTCTGTGTCTCCCCTCTGATTCCTTGATCTTGGCTGTCCCCGTTACAGAGATCACCTGCCTTTGGGCTTTTGGCTGCTAGGGGCTTTGTATCTGCCTCAGCTGCTTGATCTCTGTTCATATGCAGCATTGAGATTCCCGTTTGTCTCCCTCTTTGGATGATAAGCAGCTCACCACCAGGGTGGTAGCAGATTTATTATGGTGACATACAGCAAGTGCTCAGTATTTGCTGGCTGAGTCTAGGCTTCCTAAGCCTCCTCATCAGCTGTGCTTCCAGGATAATTTTGTAGAGAACTCTAACCGCTTGTCCCCTCCTTGGTCTTAGGAAATTGTTTCACTGAACCTCTTTAAAAACTCATCTACTTGGTTCTACATATAGTTTCACTTTATTTTCATGCACATTTTACCAGTGACATTAGCCACTTCCTAAGTTCGTATGGCTGAGAAGCCATGGATCCAGCTGTCAGCCTGAGTCCTGACCAGGAGTGGTGCCTGGGGTCAGAAGTGCCTGACTCTGGCCAAGTCGAACCTGATCCATGCTTCGCTTTCTGCCCTGTAAAGAGCATCCCAGTCCTTTAGCGAGTAGGGTCGCTGGCTGGGTCCTTTAGAGAGTAGATATGAGCGTGTGTACCATTGTTGAGTGCAGCATGTGGCAGCAAATGGCAACTGCAGACCTCCACAGTGTCTTAGGGTCTCTCTTCCCTTCGGCTCCGTATCCAGAGTCCCTCTCTGGGTGTCCCAGTTCCACCTCTGGGTTCTCCACAATCCAGGCCTCTTTGAGATGCTTCTCTGGGAGACTTTACTGAGGTTTCAGGTTCCCCCCACTTGGGGTGGAGTGGGGCACGGTAACCTTGGTTGGGCCTTTCTGGCCAGATATCCTCAGCTCTGTGAGCTGCCCGCAACCAGGCCCAGCATATCTTTTTATTGGGGAGCAAAGAGGGTGGTGATAGAGCTCTGGGAGGCTTCGCTGATTATCAGTGTTTTCTGAGGCCTGCAGTTCCCAAGCTCCCTCCCCAGGTCTTGCTGCAACAACACCAGGAAAGCCTTGCAATGTGAGGATGTGAATCTCTGAGTCTCCTCTCTGCTCTTTAGCTCCTGGGCAAATTTCTGGCTTCTCTGAACCTCCGTCTCCACCTTGCGAGCTTGGTGAGAGCTGAGATGACGCTTGAGAAGCCCCACCTGTGGTCACACCTGCGTGCAAGCTCCTCGCAGTCCTCAGAGGGCAGACTCTTAGTGCTTATGGTAGCTACGTGACTTATTATGTAGTGTGATGCAGGAAAGTGGGACATCAGTCTGTTTTATTTACGTGCATCTGTACTCAAACACTTTCCAAGATGGTTTGGAGTCGCAGAGAGCTCTACAGTGGTACATTTGGGACTCTCTGGGGATCCCTTGGGAGCCTCAGTATCAAATCTTGGCAATTTTTAAAAATATACCTGATGTGAGATTAAAAAGCAGAAGGTTTGCCAGTTCTATATAGTTTTTTTTGTTTTATTTTTATGCATAGAATACAGAGCCCCATACAGTTTTACAGGTTATATTTAAATAGTGCTTTATTGGGTGAGGGATTTGGTTCAGTTGGTTCCACCACCTGCCTCGCAGGCAGGCGCAAGGGCCTGAGTTTGATCCCTGGTACAAAAAAAAAAAACAAAACAAAACAAAAAAACCAAAACTAACTAAATATTTCTTTACTGTTGCCAGGTGTAGAGACTCACATTTTACATGCGAGGAGACAGAGGCATACATTTGCCCCAGGCACTGAAGTTAGTGCCCTTAATCCTCATACCCAGTTCATCCATTTCCATGATGTGGTCTGTCCGGGGAGGGGGAGCCAAGTAAGTCAGTAGGTGCCCTGCCCTGGGAAGGGGCATGTGGAGAGATGGATAAGAAACTGGCATAACTCTTCCCAAGGGCAAGTTGGCAACAGTGTATCAAAAGCTTCAAAAAAATCTGTGACTCAGCAGTTGAAATTTTAGGACCAAATAAAGATGTGTGCAGAGGTGTTTATTCAAGGATGTTTATTCCATGATTGTTTATGGAGGAAAAAACGGCTAGCAGAAGAATGCATTCATACCTGAGAACCTGTAACTCAGGGGTAGCTGTGAATTATGCTGCCAGGGTTACTGAGCCACCTGAGCAGATGTCCCCTAGATAGATATGGTAATAATGGTGATGACAGCTCACCTGTGTCTGGCATTTGCCATGGGCCAGACATGGTCCCAGGTGCTTTCTCTACACTCACTCGTCACTATAGCAACTTTAGGAGATATGTGCTGTGATTTCCTCCTTTACAATAAGGAAACTGAGGCACAGATCTGTTACATAATTTGCTAGAGTTCACACAGATGGTCAGTGGCTGCCTGGAATTTGAACCAGGATATCTGGCGATGGAGTCCAAAAGATATTTCAAAGCAGGGTTTCTTTGCTTTTAAAAATATCTTTTCCAGGGTACATATGTGCATTGAAAAATGAATAAAAAGAACTGGAACCTTAACAGAGGTTTCCTCTGGGTCACAGAATTTAATGTGATTTTTTTTTTCACTTTCTTTTATCCTGTTTTTCTCATTTTTCTCAGTGAGCGTGTATTACAGGAAATTCAGGTTCTGGTTTTGTTTTGTTTCCAGTCCTGGAGATTGAACTCGGGAGCATTGCGCTACATCCCAGGCCGCTTTGTTTGTGAGACAGGGTCTTGCTAAATGTTCCAGGCTGACTGTGGACCTGAGTCCTTCTGCCTCATCCTCCTGAGTAATTATGATTACAGGTGTGTGCCAGTACACCCAGTTTCAAGTTCTGTTTTGTTGGGTTTTTTTTCAACTAAAAATTAGCTAATGCACAGAAGAAGGCACTAAGCTCTGTGGTTCTGATGAGAACCAGTCCCCTAGGAATTCTGAAGTGGCACTCAAGTCCTTTGTGCTCAGAGGAAGGCCAAGTGAGGAGGAGCTGTTCTGGTGGATGCTGGAGTTGGTGTTCCCTAAGTCTAAAGGGAGGAAGTCCCTGCAGGCGAAATGAAC